TGCTGAACAGAGCTGCTTCTTGAAGTCATGGTAAAGAATCCTACTGAATGACACCAGCAGGAGAAGTTAAGCATTTTGTATTTTTCCTTCACTGGTATGAAAGTTCCAATAGAAGTAGAATGACCTAGGTTTTTTCCTGGCTTACAAGTTATAAACATAACTTTTCAATAACTGAAGTAGTGGTCTTTTGTTTGGTTGAGGTTTTTTTAATTGTTATTACAGATGTTTAGTTTTGGTTGGTTGGTTTGGTTTTTGCCAGTAATGATGTATAAGTGCTACAAATTTCACAGAATGACTGAGGTGAGAAGCAACCTCTGGAGATCACCTAGTCCAAGCCCCCTACTTAGATCACCTAGAGATTGTCATGCAGGCCCATGTCCAGTTGATTTTTGAGTATTTCCACAGCTAGAGACTCCACAACTACTCTGGGCAACCTGTTCCTGCGTTTGACCACCCTCACAGTAAAAAAGTTTTTGCCAATTTGAGATATCTCACTTCACCTGGACAGGCACAGAAGAGACATACATATTAACTAAACCATCCTTCCTAAAAACAAAACAGGAACTTTTTTTTTTTCTCCAGAATAATTCAACACATGTCAAGAAAAGAAAAAAAAAATTTGAGCTCAAGGTGTTTTTAAGCATAGCACAAAATCAGATCTCTTTGCAAGCTATGATTGTTAATATATTAAAATATCAGTGTCTTCCTGTAATAATTTGTTTGAATAACAAGTGGCTAAAGGAATATAGGTCAGGGAAAGAAAGAGCAGAAAGGTACATCCAACCCCTGCTCACTGCACATTACTGGTCGACAGTAAAGCAAACCAGGCTTCTAAGGATTTTTGCACATCAAAAAACCCTCAGACAAAAGAAAGCAGAGATCCTCAAAGTAATGAAACCCACAACTATACTAATTGGCTTTGCATAATTGTCTTTTTCATGGTCATCTACCTGAAACCTAGAGAAAAAGAACCTTATATAAAGATGTCACAGGACCTTTGAGTGGGAGCGCAGGCAACTGTTGTGACTAGGAAGGTTTTGAAGTGACAATGGACTGCTCCAGAGGAAAAATGAAGGTGTACATGATACAAAAAGAGCTCCTTCTCTGTGTCATGGTTTTAAGCACACAGGGAAATTAAATATAACATAGAATTACATAAATTAACTGATTTCTTATTATAGCTAAAATATTCTGCAACAAGATGTCCACTGGATAAGCTGATCTAGGATTCCTGGTAACTTTAATTGCAAAATTTAAAAAAATTATACTGGTTTCATCCAGATTTGGTAGGATTTTATTCAAATGCTTTATGAAACTCCACTAATAATGATGAAAAGTAGCATATTAAATTATTCTAAGCATATTCTTCCATTGTCATTAACCAAACCGGAACAATGTTAATAGACAAAGCAGCCTATTAATCTATTAGTAAAGATATAAACAAAATATTTTAAATAAAATACTTCAAATACATATTTCAAATAAAGCAATTAACAAAAACTTGTAATTATCAGAGAAAAAGGACCATCACAAGTTAAGAGGCTGCACCATCTGTTGCTTTTTCTAAAAGAGCAGTCTGAACAGCAGAAAGAAAACACATGTTTTCTCATCTTACCTGTCTTGTCTCTATAACAACCACTGATGCAAGTCGTATTTATTTCTACACCACCAATGTCATATACAGTACAATTAAACGAAACTGAAAAGGTCAAAAAACATCAGAGTAGGTTCTCCACAAGATGTCTAAACCTGATAATGTCAAGGTGACTCATCTTCTCCTTTGATTCATAATCATTATGTGTTCTTGACACTGCACAGACTGTTAACTACTTTTTATAAATCAAAAACTCCTTTTTCTTTTTAATTCAGCTATTTTCTTAGTATCCCTGACATTTAGGGGGACATCACCACAGCACTTTCAGTATCATTAAAATCTCGTAAGTTAACCAGCAACAGAATTCTCTCTATATATGAGCACTTGTATATTTAATTCTGGACTTTTACCCAGAAAATGCTTGTATTTCTCTTCTCCTTTCTAATTTTATACAAGGAAAATGAACATACACAAAACTTCTGATGATGACTGTAAGGTTATGTGGAAGGAGAGAACATCTGCTCCCTTAAACATGTCTGGGCAAGGAGTTTTTCAATGCAAAAGAGGATAATGGCAGAGGGAGAAGCCAAAAGGAAGAATACACAGGGACACAAACTAAGACAACAAGCGATGAGGGAGGCAGTAACAAGAACAAAACCTGCTCAGTCTCACTTATTGATAAGGGTACAGGGAATGTGGGAGTGTTTCTTTCGGTAAGTTTATCTGATGGAAGTCCTTGTCAAATGTGATAACGAAGAAGTAAACAAAGTATTGAGAGAGACAAACCCAAGAAAACTGGCCAGGAACAGTGAGTGGAGGGCTATCAAGTAACTATGAGCAAACCAGGACTTTGCAACTTGATAAGCATGCAAACCTTAGGGTCCAGGGTGTTGGAGGGGGGTGTGTAGAACTACACCAGTAGATGAAGGCATGTGAAGGTGAAAGTGGTTGGGGATGAACAAGGTGGGAAACAAACAGAAAGGGTTGTAGAACGAGCCAGTTGCACAGAAATGGGGCCAGTCAGCATGTTTGTCTGGCTGAGACCTGTGCCTCATCGTGGTGGTCAGTACTAGCTTCTTTTGAAATCCCATCCTGTGGACGGGTGTGTGCTGCAAGGACTAAATGCCAGCTGCTGGTGAGACCAGCATGAGAAGACAAGACACTGGGCCAGCAACAGGAGTCAAAGCAGGTTGCAGATACCCTGGCCCTGTGGCATGAGCTACGGGAGCAAGTGGGGGTCTTGGCCCCAGCTCCAGGGGTAGTAACAGCATGTGTCCCACACACCAACTACCAGCAATGACTGGAACGAGACAAGTGAAAGGCTGTTCTATCTCCTGGAGGAGCCATGCAGGAGCCATGCAGTGGCTAAGATCCTCCACCCAAGAGCTGTCCAGGAGAAGAAACATAGTCATTCCGACCCACATACATACAACCAAGCTGGCAGTGGCGCTGCCATAACTGCCTGAGCAAGTAACCAAAGAGCAAAGGTGAGCACTTCAAAGAGCCCGGGCACACTTTACTAAAGCCCAGAATATTTTACTACAGGAAACCTTAAGAGGAACAGCAAATCCTTTGCTAAACAAACTACTAGTAAAGGGGGTGACTGTGAAAGAAAAATAGGCAGTCCTGCCACTGGACATCTTAGCCACAGATGCAGCACTGTGCTGCTTCAGAGCATGGGCAGATGAAATCTGCAATTACTAGCTACAACTACACATGGATCTGTTGGAGCAAGTCCAGAAGAGGGCCAAGAGGATGATAAGAGGACTGAAGCACCTCTCATATGAAGAGAGGCTGAGGAACTTGGGGCTGTTCAGCCTGGAAAAGAGAAGGCTGCATGGAGACCTCATAGCAGCCTTCCAGTATCTGAAGGGGGCCTATAAGGATGTTGGGGAGGGACTCTTCATCAGGGACTCTAGTGGTAGGACAAGGGGTAATGGGTTTAAACTTAAACAGGGGAAGTTTAGATTAGATATAAGGAAGAAGTTCTTTACAGTGAGGGTGGTGAGGCACTGGAATAGGCTGCCCAAGGAAGTTGTGAATGCTCCAACCCTGGTGGTGTTCAAGGCCAGGTTGGCCAGAGCCTTGGGCGACATGGTCTAGGGGGAGACTCCCCTGCCCATGGCAGGGGGGTTGGAACTAGATGATCTTAAGGTCCTTTTCAACCCTAACTATTCTATGATTCTATGCTAAATATACTTTTTTCTTTCCAATCTAGTTACTGCTTTATGATATATCTGTATATACATATATATGCATACAGATAACATGCTACATATACCTATATATCTGTATAAACATATATATGCACATAAACAACATGATACCTATGACTATAAATAAACACAGATATCTGTATATAGGGACTATTTCAATCAAACCGGCTGCGTATCAGAGCTAATGCAGAATATGTAACTTACCAACTGTATTTCATTCAAACAAAACAGATCGTTCTCTTCTATAGCTTTTAAAACTTACTATAAACGGACATCTAGGCAGAGTTTAAGATTTTAGCTTTCAGACCACTCCCTCCTTTTGGTGTTACCACAGCTCTCATATCTAAGGTATGAGTGACTTTTGAATGAACTGGAAAATGTTTTCAAAATGTTCTTGCAAAGCTGTTTTTCACTTTGGAAGCTGCTTTTTCTCCTCTATTCATCAGTGTCAATGCAGTGAACTTGAGGCAATGCTACTTAGATTCCACCTCTTAGATTCTCCCAGGGATGACTAAGGTGAAGGTATAAGGCCTAATTTTATTCTTGTATTTTCTGTGGGCAAAGGCACATTGTAAGAGGCTGCGCTGGTGAAAACACCACCACCACAGCAGGATGTCTGGCTTGACATTGGTATAGCAGGAAAAGCGACACCACTCCCACAGAAGATGTTTGTGAAGGATATCTCTCTCCACATCGCTCACCAATGGACACCTTGGTGCAGGATGTTTGCCTTACGGAACCACAGAGGGGAGAAGACCGCCTAGTGACAGTATTGGGCATGTGTACTACCACTGGGTAGAGGATGTGGTTGCAACTCTATAAAAGCACGGCACCAACCAGCATAGAGAGAGTAACATCTGCCCCACCAGACTTGGAACTAATCGGACTGTCAAGATGCCACAGCTCCAGGGTGGTATCTATTGCTATGAACTCTTTTATTCTTTCCTCTGACTTTCCTTCTTTTCTCTCTCTCTCTGGAATCTGTTGGTAGGCATTTGTTCATGGGCAAATAAAGTTTCTTGGTGCTTGACTCTGTTTTGAGTCTTAATTCTGTTCCTAAGAATATGAGCAGAACCACACTCTGCCCTTTGACCAGTGTGCTACACACGTTTGGATAACAAATATTCATATACATACGAATGTTCATTTAATAACATGGTTAGTTTTACCTCATGTCTGAATAAGCATACAACATATTTGAATGAGCAAATCTGTATGCATTTGGAAGACATCCAGCTAAATTCATTATTCAATAAAAACAGCAAGCTATCAGAACATCCATGTGGTAATCGCACTGAAACATTTTGTGCTACAGCTCTGATTTACCTTGGAGACCAGACTTGTGTTCTAAAACACTTCTAAACATTCTTTTTCTGTATACTGTCTTCACTGTTACATTGAAAAAAAAAAAAAAAACCAACCAAAACCAAAACAAAACAAAACACGCCTACAAGCCCACCAAAAAAATTCCACCACCAAAAAAAACCCACTCCAACTTGACAGCAGTTGGTGGGCCTACACACCTCTTTGGAGGTATGCATCAGATGCAAAATCACAAGGTTGTTTCTGCACCAGAGCTTCCATAAATCAACAGTGACCTGGCACCCTGATCAAAATTCTTAAAAAGCAACTTTGGGTTGCATCCTAAGCTAGACACATATTATCTTCCATCACTAGCATCCATCTAATTTCACCCATAATAGTAATACTGGGCATCATTTTTTGGTTGGCTGGGGTGTAGTGGGGGTGGGGGGTGCCAGTTTTGATTTAATATGGTGGGGGTTTTTTGTTTGTTTTAAACAGAGCATGAGTAGCTTCAACCCACATGAACAAGGACAGCTACCCTGTGTTTTTAAGACTATCCCAGCTACAGCCTTTTTTCAGCTAAATTTTCAAAGATACTAATAACTGAACAAAATATCACGGATAGCTATTTAGAGGCCTCATAGGGAGAAAGAAAATTCCATTAGAGGAGAATGATGAAGCTCAAATGCCTACATTAATTTTACAGATAGAAAAAACTACTTCCCATTATCGTTTTTGACACCTTAATTTTTCAGTGAAGTTCCTACATATGCACTGTAACATCAGTCATGAAGTTCTCTGTAACAAACACGTCTGTTCACTTGAAGCTAGAACAAGAAAGTTTATGGTAGGGTCAATATAATTCCATTATGCAGTGCTTTATCCCTATTCATGGAAATAATGATTTTTATATTTTTTCCCCTGGAACAATGAGGTCCCAAATCTTGGGAAAGGGTTTATATCGTATTATTAATATCCAAAAAAAGAAGATACCCATCACAATAACCCTCATCACATGTTGCCACAAGTGTAGGATAAATTTCAGCCTACATCACTAAACTGATGTTCTTAGAAATTTTAAGACAAAAATGTAGGTAATGTCTCTGACACTCAGGCTATTGGAATATAAGAGGAAATTACAGTCTTTCAGAAACTACCAACATCACCTTGCAGTAACTCTGTGGTTGGTTATTGACCAGCACATAAACCACATTAGCCACTATTTCAGCACGTCTTTATTCAAGATTTCAATCACAAGACTTATTTATGCTCACTAGATGTTCCAGCAATTGCTTTACAAGTCATTTCCTCAAACACAAAAACCTCCTTATATTCTCAAAAGTTGTGTGATATTGATGCACAGCCATTCATTCCACTATGAAACAAGCACTCTATTAATGCTACAGTATGGTTTTGTGACTTGCAAATACTGGGGGGAAGGAAAAAAAAAGAAAAAGAAAAAGAAATAAAGGGTTGTTTTAAAGACAAAAGAATTCTGAACTTCCATTTTTTTTCTTTGTTTAACATGACTCAAAAATTCAAGTTCAATTTCTAAACTACCTCATCTAAATGAAGGGTTAGAGGTCTTTATTACTAAATTTCAGTAAGCTCTCAAAACACACTGAAAACTTAAGGAATGTGATACCCTTTGGGTACATCACACAACTCCACACTAAAAATAGCTGCATTTTTAAAAATACATTGCTAACAGGAATTCTGGGTCTTGTTTGAAAATACAAAAGCAAATTAGCAATTTCCCCAGTATATATCCAATTTGCTCCCAAGTTACTCTGCTATTTTTGTTTAGCTTTGAT